TAATAACATCAGGGATTTACATTTACTGAGCAGTGACTACTACACTGCCAACCACGACTCCTGCATTCTATCAGTGTTCATCCACTCGCCACCATCCTGCAAGACAGATTCTATCACTGGCTGTTTTATACAGCTGCACAAACAAGCAAAGAGATTTTACACTCAGAAAGTGCCAAGATCACATATTCAGGAAGCATATGTTTCTACAGGGGATGGGTTGCTGAATGTCATGTCATGGAATTTAGTCTTTACTCAATAGCAGAGATTTGGAACCAACCCAAATGCCCATCAATGGTAGACTGGATGAAGAAAATGTGGCACATATACACCATGGAATACTATGCAGCCATAAAAAAGAATGAGTTCATGTCCTTTGCAGGGACATGGATGAAGCTAGAAACCATGAGCCTCAGCAAACTAACACAGGAACAGAAAAACCAAACACTGCATGTTCTCAACTCGTAAGTGGGAACTGAACAATGAGAACACATGAATACAGAGAGGGGAACATCACACACTGAGGCCTGTCGCCGGGTGGGGGACAAGGGGAGGGAGAGCATTAGGACAAATGCCTAGTGCATGTGGGGCTTAAAACCTATTTGACGGGTTGGCAGGTGCAGCAAATCACCCTGGCACATGTATATCTATGTAACAGACTGCATGTTTTACATATGTATCCCAGAATTTACAGTAAAATAAAAAAAAAAAAAAGAAACACAGACCTACTGTGTATTTGGAAGAAGGCAATGCCTGTATTTTATAAAAATTACCTCAAAGTCCCATGAAAAGGTGGAGAAAGCATCACAAGTAAAAAGCAAGAAACAACCAATCAAAGTAGGAGATGGAGGACATACACGCAATCTTTCTTAACAAGAGGTTAAGAAAACGTCCAGCATCTTCCGGCCATCACTCCCACGAACACAGGCCACTGCAGCAGGTGAAGAGAGGGCAGTGGCCCTGCCAGGTGGGGCAACTGCCCCTGCGGGTTGCTGTGCTGTGTCTCCACCTTGGAGGCTGGGTACAACTGAGGCAAGTGGAGAAGGAAAGGTCAGCACAGCAGGGTGAGTTCAGACATCTATCCCACCTCTGTGTCCCTAGTCCTTTTAATGTGCCTCTGGGGACATTTCCAAGGAAGCCCGGAATTAGGACTGGCCCCTCTATCAACTAACTCTTCAGTCCTACGTTCACCACAAGCCACCTACCTCTTAAAACTCTTGCCAATAAATAAGGTGGCCAGGTCTGTGAGGACCAAAAAGACCAGATGGCAAATTATTATGAAAGTAGATAAACATAAAGCATTATGACTGATAATCGACCTTGTAAAAAGCCATTTTCAAATTCAGCGTGATTTGACTCATGTGAGGGACTTAGAATCATTAACTTCAAAGAGACAGGAAGGAGAATGGTGTCTATCAGGGGCTGAGGAGGGAAGGGAGACTTTTACAAAGAGAGAGTTTCAGTTTTGTACAATGAAAAATGTTCTGGAGATGGATGCTAGTGACGGGTTTATCACAGTGGGAATAAACCTTTAGCCACTGAACTGTATAATTAAAAATGGCTAATGTGGTAAATTTCATGTTATATGTATTTTAAATGATTTTTTCAGATGAAAATTTTTTGCAATAAAATATCTCAATAAAATCACTCAAAAGTTCTTGTCAATCTATTGCATTAACCGCTAAAAATGTGAGCTAGAAATCTACCAGGTAGATTTCCTACACTGCATTTGAAGTGCAATGTAAGTGATGCATATGTATCTGTTTAGCCAGGGGTCTAGGAAAAATGATTCTGAGAAAGAAGATTCCAAAAAAGAAGCTAAGGAAGACAACACAAGCATGTGACCCTCCTTCTAGGCTAAAGAGCTAGGAGAGCACATAGAACTGCCAGACCAATGTATCTGTCCCATTAAAAGAATGACTGGAAATGAACAGAAAGTCACTTGGTTTGTGGTATGGCAGGGCTGTGAGTGTGGGAGCCAGTGTGTGTGGCCACAGTGCTAGAGGCCTAAGACTGAAAGTAACTTGTGTTATACTAACAATATTCACAGTTACAGACGTGATGACCTGCAGCTGAACACTGACCTAAGAGAAGCCACTGCCTCCTCTCTGGAACACTGGCCCCAGCGTAATCCATCACCCTTGTTAACTACCACTGGTTTCTGAAAGCTTAAAATTCTTTTCAAGTATGAATCTAAAATAATATTACATCATCTCATATATTCATTGCTCCCTCTTGAACAACAGCCCCTTTAGAGACATGTAAAGAATGAATCAACTTCAAGAGACATCAAATATTGACTAGAAAGAATCATTTTAATTACCTAATGGTAGTCAATCAGTCCAGTGCTGAAAAGACTTCAAATCAATTTAGTGCATGGAAATAACTAATAAAATTGTTACAAAGTACTTTATAAATTTAACGTGTCAAATAAATGGCCTATAATCGGAATAATCATCATTAAATAAAATACTTTAACAGCCACAAGGTGACCATGATGAATCTCTGTCATTTTATCCCCAAGATGGAGGAAAGGAAACACCAGAGAGATAAAACTGAAATAATGAGAGCTAAGTGCCATTAAGCTGTCGCTTTGAAAGGTCAGTGCTCAGTAAGGGCCAGAATCAAAATGAAAACAAAAACCAAAATTCAAGCAAGACCCAGGAAACTGACTGGAATTTTCCTTTATTTGTATGCAATGTCTTTTGTGAGTGATGACAAAGATGCATGATTTTGAACAGTAACTACAGGTAATATACTATTCAACAGATAATACTCAACCGACTATTCACAAACACTTTTTGAAACAATGTGTCAGGTCTGGGAAAACAGTCAGTGTATATTTTCTAATCTGCTTCCTAAAGCTAACTAATTTTCATTACTACCCAATGAAAGCACTCTGGGGAATAAGAAAAATATCTGACATGAGCTGACTTTCATTTCCTTGCTGGAAAACCAAAAATCTGTATTCAAAGAAGAGGCCAAAGAAGAAAATACTGCCCCAAATGTTAAATATACACTAAATGTTGTTCATCATTCTGTTTAAGACATAGGAAGCATGGCCGGGCGCGGTGGCTCAAGCCTGTAATCCCAGCACTTTGGGAGGCCGAGGCGGGTGGATCACGAGGTTGAAAGATCGAGACCATCCTGGTCAACATGGTGAAACCCCGTCTCTACTAAAAATACAATAAAACTAGCTGGGCATGGTGGCGTGTGCCTGTAATCCCAGCTACTTAGGAGGCTGAGGCAGGAGAATTGCCTGAGACCAGGAGGCGGAGGTTGCGGCGAGCCGAGATCGTGCCATTGCACTCCAGCCTGGGTAACAAGAGTGAAACTCCGTCTCAAAAAAACAAAAACAAAAACAAAACAAAACAAAAAGACATGGGAAGCCGTAGGGTTTGGTGAATTAAGCAACAGAGAAAATGTCAAGAGCAATGGAATTGAACCCCAGGCAGATCTTAATAGCTTAGCTAGTTTCTCCACCTATAAAAACCAGGACATTCTTACTGCTGTTTGTGTTAGGTAATTAACAGTCATAAAACATGCTGAAAGTAGAAACTGCTAAATAAATAATGACTGCCAAAGAATTTTTACCACAACATGCTAAATAATAAGGATAAAACATGGGCTTTTAACCACCATTTTTGTTTTCAAATTAATAATGCAAACAAGAGTCCAATCTCGTTAAGATGGCTCAGCATACTGTTAGATAGCAAGTTAAATTTTAGTCATTAGAGAGTACAGAAAGAATCTTGTTTCTTCCAGAGTAGCGGTTCACTCAATTCTAGGTGGAACTGTGGAAACAAAGCCATGTTCTATTCCTGTAAACTGCAGAAATGTTACCACATTGCCTGTGTCTACACTTTGGTTAATTCCAGACAGAGGCCATTCTACTTGAAGACCCACTAAGCAATCAACTTTTTGGGAATTTCCATTTATCTCACATTGATTTTGGAACCCTAAACATCAGTAACATTTTAAACCATTTTCTGGGAACTGGTGACATAGTGATGTCAGCCACAATGACTGTTTTCCACACTTCTCAATCCCTGGGATGAGACTGTAGGCCTACCTCAGAACTTTGCAGGCATTTTATAGTTGCATAGTGAAGAAATACAAATGGAGAAGATCTCAGTACCAATTCTGTGACTTTCCTTCTAAATTTTTTAATTCCAAGCATGGTATTGAGTAAGCCATAAGATTTAAACTATGAACTAGAAGAGCTAACATTATTTTACTATTCATATTTGTTCATTTTTTGCAGATACACTTGAAATAACTACTGAGTATTATGAAATCCTAGGGGGGAAAAAAAAAAGAATTATAAGTCACAGAAAGATTGGAAAGCCTTGGAGATCAAACCCATTTTAATTATTTCTCACTGAAAACACACCAGCTGGAAAATATGGTTTTCTACTTAAATATAAAATCTGATCAGGATTCTGTTCACAAAATACGCTGTTCTGTGAGTTTTCTTACACCTCTAAATACTCTAGCTATAAAGAAGAGTTTCAACATCACTGAACAAACAAGCCTAAATCCTGTTTATTAGACATTTGGGGAGAAAGTCATCCTCCAGGTACTATTTTGAGGAAGAATTAAATATCTACAGAAGAAACCAAAGTAAAAGACATTACCACATTAAAATACAAATATACAATTTTGTCCTCATAATAACCAAGACCTCAAATCCCAGTTTTGGTGACTCACATTAATTTAATTATGACATTTGCTTTACTAATCGTAGATGTAGAAAGACCACTGTGTTCCAAACATAATTATCTCACCAGCATTTCATTGCATGAAATTATTAGTTGAGAGCCTCTGAATAAATTTATACTTGATTAGTTTCACTTATTTAAGAACACTGAATAATTTAAGATCTGTTTAAATGAAACAGAAGCAAGGGGCCCTCTGAGAAGGGCTGCGTTACCCCACACCTGCCATCTCAATAAACCGTACATTACTCCCCCCTGCAACTGCTACCCTCAGTGAGTACGAACCTTCCAGGTGAAGCCACATCAGCCTTCCCTTCACACTCACAACGGAGGCCACACACAGTTCTCCTGGATTCCTGGGGTTCACAGCTTCAAGTTTCATGTTCTTTGTGAAACCTCGACTGAATGATGTCTGCAAGACAAACAGGACCGACACTGAGCCAGTGCTGACACAGCCGGACAAAGCTGGGCCGGTGAAGAAAGAGAAAGAAATGCACGCAGATCCTACATCAATAAGACTGGCTTGTGTGAGTGTTTGTTCCTTCCCACCGCTCATGAAGAAAGAACCAGCGGGTCTTCATTTCTTAGAACTATGCCTAGCACACAGTAGGTACCTAATAATATTTGTTAAAGGAGTGAGAGTATGAATTCCTTCTCTCTCCAGTTCCACATGCACCCTTCCTTCTATGGGATCACTGATGTACATACCATTTCTTCCACCTTCCTATATCCCTGGGTAACAGTTCAAGTGGGTAGATAGAGTTTCTATACGGCATCATTTTCCATTAAAGGAAGTGGGAAGAATATCCTTTAGAATTTTTCATAGTCAAAGGTCGGGCGTGGTGGCTCATGTCCGTAATTCCCAGCACTGCAGGAGGCTGAGGTGGGCAGATCACTTGAGGTCAGGAGTCCAAGACTAGCCTGGCCAACATGATGAATCTCCATCTCTACTAAAATACAAAAACTAGCTGAGCATGGTGGCATGTGCCTGTAATCCTAGCTACTCAGGAGGCTGAGGCAGGAGACTCACTTGAACCCAGGAGGCAGAGGTTGCAGTGAGCTGAGATCTCACCACCTCACTCCAGCCTGGGCAAAAGAGCGAGACTCTGTCTCAAAAAAAAAAAAAAAAAAATAAATAAATAAATAAATAATTTTTTCTGTAGTAATGTAGGTCTTTTTGATGATCAATTCTTGTACTTTTCTTTGATCTGAAGTTATCTTTATTTTCCTTTGTTCTTTGCTAATTGACTTTTTAAGATCACTTTAAACATTTTTATATAGAGTAAAATTCAGTCTTTTGGGTAATGTTGTTCTATGAGGGTAACGCTGTGAGACCAGTGCATTTCATTATGTAGCATGATAACCACAACCAACACACTGAGCCACTCCTTTGCCCCCTAAATACCCTTGCACCGGGGTCCTTTGGTAATCAGTCCCTCCAAAGCACTCAATTCCTGGCAACCATCAATCTGTTTCCTGTTCCTATAATTTCCTTTATATTTCTTTATAATCTCATTATGAGAAAATTTTCCTTTATATCTACAGTTCTTAAACTTTAGGATCAGAATCCCTGTTTTATTCTGTAAGTCACGTAAATGGACTCACACTATCTGCAGCCTTTGGAGTCTGGCTTCTTTCACTTAGCATAATGTACTGAGACGCATCCATGCTATTACATGATATGGAAGTTTCTTCTGCTTTCTTGCTGAGTAGTTTGTACAGATGCACCATAGCTTATCTATCCACTAACCAGTTAAAGGGCATTTGAGCTGTTTTCAGTGATTGTGATTAAAGCTGCTGTAAACATTCTGGTACAACTTTTCACATAAACATAAGTATATTAATCTGCTCAGGCTGCTATAGCAAAATACTACAGACTGTGAGGTTTAAGCAACAGAAATTTATTTTCTCATGGTCTTGGAGGCTGAAGTCATAGATCAGGGTGGTGGCAGGGCAGGCTTCTTCTGAGACCTCTCCCTTTGACTTGCAGATGGCGTCTTCTCTCTGTGTATTCATGTGGTCATGGCTCTGTGTGTACTTAGCAGTTCTAATTTCAGCATGCTTTATGTCTGGTAATTACCTAACATAAACAGCAGTAAGAGTGTCCTGATTTGTACAGGTGGAGAAACTAGCTAAGCCATTACGATCTGTTTGGGGCTGAATCCCCTCTTCTTTTTTTTAAATTGCAGACAGGGACTCATTCTGTTGCCTAGGCTGGAGTATAGCAGCATGATCTCAGCTCACTGCAACCTCTGCCTCCTGTGTTCAACTGATTCTCCTGCCTCAGCCTCCTGAGTAGCTGGGACTATAAGCATGCACCACCACGTCCAGCTAATTCTTTTTTGTATTTTTAGTAGAGTCGGGGTGTCACCATGTTGGTCAGGCTGGTCATGAACTCCTGACATCAAGTGATCTGCCCACCTTGGCCTCACAAAGTGCTGCAACTACAGGTGTGAGCCACTGTGCCTGGTACCCACTTTTCTTATAAGGACACCAGTTATACTGAATGAGGGCCCATGCTTAGGACCTCGTTTTACCTTAATTACTTATTTAAGACCTTATCTCCAAAGACACTCATATGCTGAGGTATTGGGGGTTACAATTTGAACATATGAATTTGGGAGAGGCACAATCCAACCCATACCATTAAGTTTGCATTACTCTAGAGATGGGACTGCCAGATCATATGGTAAATGAACTTTTAACCTATTAAGAAGCTGCCAAAATGTTTGCCAAAGTTGCTATGGCATTTTGCATTCTCATGAGCAGTGTAGGAGAGTTTTAGTTGCTACATATCCTCATCAGCACCTGATGTTGCCAGTATTTCAAAATCTCCTAACAGATATCTAGTGGTGTCTCACGGTGGTGTTAGTTTGCATTTGCCCTGCTGACTACTGATGCTCAGCATGTTTTCCTGTGTTTTTCTGGGGCATCCATACATCTTCTTTGGTTAAGTGTCTATTTTTATTCTTATTCAGCCACCTCTTCTGGGTCTTCAATTCTCTGTGATAACTGTCCCTCAAATGCTGAAATTCCATTTGTCCTTCATTTCCCTGTCCATCATCTTCTGCTTTTCAGACAGAATAATTTCTGTCTACAAGGTCATGGACTCTTTCCTCTGTCATCCCCATTAAGTCACTTCAATGAATTTGTTGATTTCAGATACTGTATTTTTAAGTTCTAGAATTTCTCTTTTGTACAGTTTCTACTTCTTCTTAAGGACTTCCTATCTTTCAATTCATTATGAGAATATTTTCCTTTGTATCTACAGTTCTTAAACTTTAGGATCAGAACCCCCTTGAAAATCTTTTAGAAATACAAGCTTCTGGGCTTCTCTCTAAAGTTTCTGATTCAGTTGATTGTAGGTGGAGCCAGAGAATGTGTATTTCTTTATTTTACTTTATTTTATTATTTTTTTTATTGCATTTTAGGTTTTGGGGTACATGTGATGAACATGCAAGATTATTACTGGGTATATATCCAAAGGATTATAAATCATTCTACTACGAGAATGTGTATTTCTGACAAGTGCCCAGGTGATAACTGAGGCTGCTGGTCTCATGGCCGCACTTTTAAGAACCACTGCTTTACGTCACGCTTAGTTACAATGGGGGATTGAAAATACTTGTAAATCCAACACCTATGTCATGATGGGTTTAGACTATGCTTGGTTTAGTCTGTGTTGATTATCTTTTCTACTGAGAATGAGGCTGATTTTCCCATTTGTCTTGAGCAATATGTGAATTAAACAATGGATATTTTAAATGTTATATTGTGGAGACTCTAGATTATGTTACATTCCTACCAAGAGTGTCAACTTTTCTATTTTAGCAAGCAATCATCTTGGTTAGACTGAAACTTCAGACTGTCTCTTAAGAAGCAGCTCCAATTTCAATTGAGTTCAGCTTTCCTAGGCTGCTTGGAGTCTTCCTGGCACCTACATGATTCAGGGATCACCCCAAAAACCTAGACAGAATTTACACATAGAATTTGGGGTCCTGACTCTCCCCTGTCTTAGTCTCCCCTCACTTTCCAGGATTGGTGGTTGATCAAATTTTGTAATGTGGTTCATCAGGCGAGAGAGACCGTGAATTTTATGTCACTCTATAAGTTATCCCACATGCTGTCAACTGTGGCTGCCCTGAGGTAAAAGTCTGAAAAAAATGGGACAATTCCCCCATGCTATTCCCTTCTTCCAATATCCTGTTCCCTTAGAAATATCCCTGCTTTTGTTCATGTTCCACTACCCCCAAATAGTGATTTTGGGTCCTACGTACAGACTTTAAAGCTGCTCTATGTGCATGCAGAAGGGTTGATTCAGTCTGAGCTTATTCGGCCAATAGTGAAAACATTATTTTAAAATAAATATGAAAATTTCCCAAATTGCCAACTACTATAAATTGTCATCAGACATGTTACAATACTCTGGATCTATATATTTATAGATACCAAGATAAACAGGTTCCTCTAAGTAACAGAGACTGCTACTTTTTGTGACTAGCGGAAATAAATCAAGGTAATTCACATTTATATGTCTTTTTCTAAAACTTAATTTGAAAAACACAATTATATCTTTATGTAACCTGAAAAAAAAAGTGATCCAATGCATGTTAAGAAATCAACTGGCTCCATGCCTTTATGTTTCTTTGGAAATAGGAATCAGAGATCTTCTAGTTGGGCTATGTGTTTCTGCAAGTCACTCTGCCTCACCGTGGCTATTATGTATTGAGCTTCCTTCTGAAAATACAACTCCATCGGCCACTTGAAAGCCTCTAAATAAGTTAAAATGCATTTTATCCTTCTTAACAAGGGAATGCTACAACCACATAACCTATTTTCATTTCAGTCCATCGCATGAGGGTAATTTATAAAGGATCAATAGCAAAACTGTTACCTGTGAGTTTATTTACCAAGCATTTTACTGTGTCGATCCCTTTCATAACAGCCTCTGTTAAACATCTCTGGGGAAATGTCTTCCATGCATCCAATTCCACACTAGCTCTCCTCTAATACACAGGAGATGTGTGATTAAAAAATGAAGTCGTAATATGCATTCCATTAAGGAGCACTTGTAGCAAGCTAACAAATTCAGCAAAGCACCACCAATGCAATGCATACATCAACAATCCTGTCTATTACATAAACAGAGCGACAGTCCTATTACATAAATGGAGCACCAGAAACAAAGGCATTCCTACACCCACAAATTCATCCAAACAGAGAGCACCTTGGTAGCCAAATCCCAGAAACTCAGAAGCCACCTGGGAATGTGGTGCCTTGCTCTACCATTCAAACCCATGTGGACAACTCCTGGCTGTGCATGGGAAGACAGGACTGATAAAAAGAAGCTATAGTGGGACTCTGTTGTCATAGAAGAAATCACTCTTTAAATATAGAATGAAAGGAAGAGACAAGGCTTTTCTTCCAAAGGCTAATGATCCGGGGAAGGAATATTTCTCTTTGTACCCTGTCAGGTACAAAGCACAATCTCAAAAGGGTTTTAAGGTGCTACAAAATGTTTCCACGGCCCTAAATGAAAGCAGACAAGCCAGCAGATTCTGTGACCGTGACATCAATATGGTGAGAAGTCAAGACAGTGCAGGATGTCAAAGCTTTCAGAGTTCACCAGCTGTGGTCTTTGTCAGGGCACAGCTATGAAGCCAGCCCTGTCACCTAAACACACGCCACTCGGTTCTTCAAGATACAGAGAAACTACTCTTGTGCAAAGGCAACATCCTCCAGTGGCAATCCCAGGGAGAGCCGGGACTGGGAACCCCAAAAATTCGATGTGTAAATTCTGCCTAGATTTTTGCCTGCTCTGTGGATCATGTAGGTGCCAGGCAGATTCCAAGAAACCTAGATAAGGCGAGAACTCAACTGAGATTTGAGCTATTTCTCAAGGTGGTTCAATCATAGAAGGATCCTGGATTTCCAACCTTGCTGCTCACGTGCTTCTGTACTTAGAAGTACGAGCTGACCCATTCAGCAACCTACTGAATCCTCCAAAATCTGATTTTGACTTACGCTGACTTCTGAACTTCTGCCTATTCAGCCACTCTTTTCTCGCTTCATTTTTCATATTGTCATGTGGAGTGTGCAGTGACGGGGCAGTGGGAATGAACCTGCAGCTCCAGGAGGGCGTGCTCAGCAAACAAGCCTCTGACCGGCACGTGCTTGGCACTGCTGTTACAGATCTCAATTAAAAGGAGACTATAATCTTTTTGTCTTAACATAAATTAACTTTCCTAACTCAAAGTACATTGAACACAGTAGACTATACATGTAAGCCTAATTCTTAAAACAGAGGTAAATGATGTCTCTACCCACGATGCCTAGGGTTGATGAATTATTGATAATTTTGTAAACTACAGTCATCAGGCACTGCATAGTGACATTTCAGTCAATGAGGAACTGTGCATACAATGGTGGTCCCGTACAATTACATGGTTATGCCACATAACCTAGGCTATGTGGTATAAGCTATTCCATTCAGGCTGTGGATGGATCTCAAAGCTGTATGTAGGATAGGCTATGCCATCTAGGCCTGTGTAGGTACAAGGTACACTCTATGACATTCACACAACAATGAAGTGGCCTGATGATGCATTTCTCAGAATATACCCCCATCGTTAAGCAACGCGTGACTGTAGTTTATAAAATGACCTCCTATAATGCTGTAAGTACATGCATGTGCACACACACACACATGCTCATTGCTACTTTATGTGTCACAAAAGTCCTATTACTATGTTCCAGTAAGCACTATATGAACAGGTAGTAGCTTAAAGTAAGCAAAGCACACAACTTACTAGCACCTTACTGGACATCAAAGAAAGTACTAAAGCCATCAAAATAAGTAAGACTGTATTTTAACACTAGGCCTCAGGAGCAAAGACGCTCCTCTCCATGGGCTCGTGGATAAGACGCTACACACCAAGTGTCCCTCTAACGGGCACAGGCGGCCAGCCATCCACCAAAATGTGTCCTCTTTCCCCCAGAGTCCAGAATCACAGCTGAGCAGCAAACCCAGGCAGGACCCACTTCCTGGCCTCACCTGTGAACTGCTGCAGCCAAGTGAGGAGCTCCCAGCAGTAGAAAGGAAAGAGCAGAAACATACGCTGCTATCAGGCTGCGGTCTTTAGAACCAGCGACACCTTCTCCTTCATCTCTTTTCCTTCTGCTGGCTAGGTTACTCACCGTGATGAGAACCACCTACTGATCAGGAAAACCCTGGGCTCTTCCGTAAGTGAGACTTGGCCGTCACCCTTTAGCATGTTCCAGCCACTGTGCATTTATTAGTCAATTTGTTGGCTCAGACCAGCACCACCCTAGCAAATGTATAACCCGAAAGCAGGGCTTTCCAAAAACTACATTTTGTAGTTCTCCAGTGCATGGTAATACTCCAAACTTGCTTCACCAATATAAAGCAACTTATGAAACTTAAGATAAACAAAATCTATGATTTGTTAAAATTAGGTAAGAGAGAAGCTTCTTACATTTCGGAAGCAGAAGGGAGGGGCTTCCTGCGCCCCATGCTGCTTGTGATAATCTGCCCAGTCGAAGTCCTGGCCAGAGTAACCTGTGAATGACAAAACACAGATAAAAGAGCATAAATTAAGCAAAATACCAGACTGAGCAAAATCAGAAGGGGTGTAAGTTTAGGCTACCAAAAGATAATGCCGTCTGATGCCTAACAGTATTTCAGATTCCAGAAGCTCAGACGAAATATTTTGGAAAAAATAAAGTACTCAACACAGGTAAAAACAGAACAAAACCAAACCAAACCAAAAAAACATCATGACTGTAACACAGTATCTGAAGCCAGGTGAAGAACGGTGGAACTTACCTGCAGCAGCTCCTGCCAGTGGGGGGGATTTGCCATAAGGGAGAAGAGCTAAGCCAGGATATGACATGAAACACACGCTCACCACTCACTGTGCAGAAATAGATAATGACATCTCCCTTCATGGGAAAGCTGAGTTCATGGGAGCTTACTTTTCAGTGTCTTTATGGAAAACGTGAGGTTGTATTGGGGAAAACTAAACAAAACAAAACAGTACCAGGGAGGACTTTTGGAAAAGTAGCAGAAGGTAGAGAAGCGGGCAGCCAAGAGTAGAGCGCTTGGAGAGAAAGCCCCCAGAGAAATGAGGGAAGCGGAGGAAGGCAGACGTCGCCCTGGAGAGGCCCTGCTGAGGCTGAAGGAGCCTCAGACCTGCGGGAGGCAGGCCTCTGCTGGAAGCTCTGGGGGTAGTTTGCAAATACTGCAAAAGGCATCTGAACAAAACTGTTGATACACACTGAATGTAACCAAACACGGAGCCCACTAAGGTAGCTTTTTCCGTTCTTTCTTTATATTTACTTGATTTGGAGGGAGGAAGACGCAACTATATAAATGTCCATCACGACCACAGCAAGACAGGAGAATAAGTGAGAGAAAAGAGGTCTGAATTATACACAAGAGAGGCATAACCCAGGGAGGAAAATGCCTCTTAATGGGAGTCTGCTCGGCAAAATCAAACCAAGGAACAGACAAGGAAAAGAGAGTGAAGTGTTAAGATCTTTCAGTAAACAAGCAAAGGAAATACACAGTCCAACTGTGAGTAACTGAAGTATGTAAACGTCCCTCGTATTTTTATTTACAGTGCTCTCTATTGGTTGAAACCTACGTAAAGTAAATCTATAGGTGATTTCTTATGTTTTTTATCCAAATCCTTCAGTTTCTTTTCCCCATATTATCACAGATTGTACGAGTGCAAATTATTTGTTTATTTATTTTTTGAGACAGAGTCTCACTCTGTTGCCCTGGCTAGAGGGCAGTGGCACGATCTCAGCTCACTGCAACCATCCCGGTGAAATCCAACAGGATTTCACCATGTTGGTCAGGATGGTCTCCAACTCCTCACCTCACGATCAGCCCGCCCTGGCCTCCCAAAGTGCTGGGATTACAGGTGTAAGCCACCACGGCCAGCCTGGAAATTCTTTATTAAAGAAACTCAACATACTAAAGATACTAGTTGCTTCCACTTACATTCCTGAGCAAAAAAATAGGAATTATTTTCATTAAGAAGCTCAATATATCCTATTTTTTTTTTAAGATGGGAGGGTTAGGGTTAACCAAAAAAGCATCTGTCCTTCTCTGGTCCCAGAGACTGACCCGTGACCTCCCTATATCCTCTTGACCATCAGTGGCAGGTCGCCTTCTTTCTTAAGACAGCTGTTTCATTCTATAAAGACTGACAATTCTTTCCAGCCACTTTCAAAGAGGTTTTTTTGAGTTCTCCCACCTGCCCTTTCTCCTGCCCTTCTCTCCAAAGCTCCCCTCCAGCTAAAGGGCTCTTGCCTCAGAGGTTCCTGGACAGGACCAAAGCCAACCTTTTTCTGAACCTTTTTAAACATAACGAAACACATCTCACAAACAAGGTAATATAATGTGAGTTTCTCTACAGTTAAGAAAGCTCTCCACGTTGTGCACAGTTTCTCTGGAGAAGTCTGGATCAGAGCCTCACATTACTGTAGAAGAATTCGCCTCAAGACATGTCAAACAGAGAAGTGTCCTAACAAGACAAAGGGCCCAGAACTAGAGAACAGCGTATCTGGGTTTAAGACCCAGCTCTGCTAGTAATGGGATGGACCCAGGAATAAGTAGATTAAATCTGCTGTGCCCACTTTCCTCATCCACAAGTTCACAAAATAAAGAGAAAAGCATCCGGGCGTGATGGCTAATGCCTGTAATCCCAGCACTTTGCAAGCCCGAGGTAGGCAGATCATGAGGTCAGGAGTTTGAGACCAGCCTGACCAACACTGTGAAAATCCATCTCTACTAAAAATACAAAAATTAGCCGGGCATGGTGGCGTATTCCTGTGATCCCAGCTACTCAGGAGGTTGACGCAGGAGAATTGCTTGAACCTGGGAGGCAGAAGTTGTAGTGAGCCGAGATCGTGCTACTGCACTCCAGCCTGGGAGACAGAGCGAAACTCTGTCTCAAAAAATAAATAAATAGAAAAGCTTTTAGGTCCCTCTGCTATTGCATTCTATGACTCAGACCCACCATTACTAATTATTTTACTTTTGCTACTGAGAACTTTTTTTCCCCAACTCTCCGTGGTTAATTCCCTTCTCTGCTCCTAGAAGAAACGCGTCATGCGGCTGGATGAAGAGCAGTTACCTAACAAGGCATTCCTCTAAGAAGACCTCAAGACTCCATCCGTGAAGACAACTCTCTGTAACACAATGATCCCATCTGTCTGGGGTTTTGGAAGAGGGACTTTGTTAAAGTCAAGATCTCCAACTTGGAAGTCACTGCTATTCCCTACACAGAGACATTAAGCTGGGCTTTCTATAGCTAACTTGTAATGAGCATCAACCCATCCTATAAAATGTCATGTCCCCTGTTTTCTTGGACCTACATTCAAGCCTTCCATGTATTCATCCAGTTCTCCACACTCTGTCTGTGGAGAGCCATTTCTAATCTGATCATTTCTAGGTAAAACCAAGTCTTGCTGTGTATGTTCAACGCAACAGTTAATTTTTCTGCCTCTAGAACACACTCGTTTCCTTGACATTCAAACAGCTAAGACTCCTCCTTCCCCTCCTCCTCCTGTTCGGGACCTTTACTCACTTCATCACTTAAAATTCTTTTTCTTTGGGCTGATAATGAGCTCTCTTTGTCAGGCAGTTTTGTGACAGCTCAGAAAATAACTGTGACATAAAAACAAATTGCTGTGGATTGTGTAATGGAGACGACAGGGTCAATTATACTCATTAATCAACAAAGACAGAACAAAAAGTACTAAGGCTTAACTGTGGCCAGGAAAACATGTTTTAAACCTGGAGGGAGGGAGGAAAATAGCAGAGGGGAGAAGAAAATGAAAGAAAATAAAACCCCTTAGGCAATTAAAATTTGCAGCAAGCTGCCCTGAGAGACTGTTGAACTACAACCATTAGATTTATTTAAGCTTTTATTAGTGTTTATTCTGAATGAAGTTCCAACCCTTACAGGTCCAGAAGGGAAGAGGTTCATGAGCCATTTCCCTCAGATACAAATTAATTGACATAAAACAGCTCTATTTGCACACATTATTATTGGCAGTGCACATGGATAATTCTTTGGAAAAACTATTTGGCCATAAAAAAGTTCCTGCCCTTTGACAAATCCATTTCGTTTCTGGGAACCCATTCCATAAAAATGACCCCAAGAACTGAAAAAGGTGTTGTACATGAAGATGCTTATGGCATTATGATAATTGGTAATACTGGAGGGAAAAAAAATGAAAAAAAACTTCTGTTTAGTAACAGGAAATGACATGAGACTTTGCCAACTATGTGGAATGCCACACAGGCATGAAACTTCACGTAGTTAAAAAAATCATAAAAAATAACCGCTATAGCTTTAGATGAAAAGACTGCTATAAATATATGCAGAATTATTACATTTGTATAAAAACATGGAAAGATGAAGACCAGAGAAAATGCACAAAAAACTTAATAATAAATATTACAATAATTGTTTGGTGGTAGGACTCTTGGCTACTTACTCTCTTCTTTGACATCTTTGTATTTTTAAGTTTTCAACAGTGATATATTAATAAAAAATTATTTTAAAACATAGAATCTTTGCTCTATTTTAAATGATAATTAAGGCATTGGTTGATCAACCCAGAGTCTATTCAGCACATGGAATACACCGTGACTGCCTCCCCTCAGCCTTCCGCCAGCTTTACATTTGCCACTAGAATCCTGACTTTATCCAGTTCCTGGAGGAAGTGAATTAGGACAATCTTCAGACACTCATGGTGGGTATACGCCCCTTTCGGGAGGCTTAAGACAGGGGTGGGGGAAGGGTTTACAGAAAAAAAATTCTCTAACAAAAAAGATACGCAGGAATAAAAACTCTTCCATCCTGGGTGGCTATGAAAAAACACATAGACAATCTTACTAAAAAACATAGACAATCTTACTAAAAAACAAGAATAGCAAAAGAATACCATGTTTGCTATTCTGGCTGGCAAAATGAAAAACAACACTAAGAATCCACCATTCTAAAGGCTCTTAGAAAGCAGGTACTCTTACGTGTTTGTGGTTGGAGTGTAACTTTAAAAACCTACCATCGATGTCAGTTTGGTAACCTGTCAAAATCCTCAGGAGTGTGTCTACCCTCCAGCCCAGCCATGAGTTCATGCATACACTCACTCATTCAAAACTCCTGCCCAGCTGCTGGGTGCAGGGCAAGGGAACCAAACCGCCAAAATCCTAAGTCTCCAAGCTTACATTTCAGGGAATAGAGACAGATAAGCTGCAAATCTAAAAAGTCAGATGCTCACAGGTGTCATAGAGAAAGTGGGCAGGGCACATAAGGAGAGCTGCCCTTGCACGCAGAGCTCAGGGAGGCCTCAATGAGAAGAGGAGTGCTGGGCAAAAAGTGTGGAGGAGCTGAGAAAGCCAGGCATGTGGCAATCCAGAGGCAGAGACTGCAGGGCCAGGGACCTGCAACTGCAGAAGCCCAGGGGTGAGTCTGGATGGTTCCAGGGTCATCAAGAAGGACTATGGGGCCAGAGCAGATAGGCAGGTGTGACCGGAGC